TTTTTAGGCAATTGTATACTATACACGGAGCTCAAATACAATACTTTATTTAACAAACTTGGATGGTATAAATAATTATAGTATAAAAATTGCAAGCCCAACATCTCCTAGCTGTATCTAGTGTGTCCAAGAGTGATGTGTCACACCAACTTACATGTAAGTTAGAAGACCTTGTCAGCCTGCCAAGAGCTTATCCCTTCATCTTTACTTTCTTCACCAAGAGCAAAAGAAAATAATGTTCTGTATTCTCAATACTAGAATGTACATCAAGAAGAAAAGGAGTTTATATACAAAAAAACACATAACAAACAAGAGAAAATAATAAAAAATAAAAATAGAGAAAACAAAAAATGTAAAAAAAGAAAAAACAAAGAAATAAGCCCTGACAGGCTGAACAAGAAAAAGCTATCTCCTAAGAGGAATAGCAGCTACCTCTATCAAGAAATAGCACAAAAATGAATACAAAAAGAAAAAAGAGAGTACACTATTATAACCTGTACCAGGCAAGTATAAAAATTATATAACAAATACAACATTTGTATATCTCTACTATAAAGCTTTGCCTTAATGTTATTGTTTTTTTTCTGACTATATGACTAACTTTGGAATATTTGGTTCTGACCTAATCTGTATCTCAAGCCAGATGCTGCCGCCGTCTGTAGACCCATATCTCAAGCCACTTGCTGCCACTATTAGAACTCTGGATCTGTCCAAATTAGTAGTACATATTCATCGAACACATGGTTGTAATCTACTTGGCTATCTGGATTTGGGATGTAAATATTGTCGATCTTTTGGAGAGGATAAGCCAAATCTCCACTTTTTGAAAAAAATTTTTTTAGAAAACCAAAAAAAGCGGAAATGAGAGAAGAGAGTTGCAAGTACTTTCAAAATTTTCAAATGAGTGTGTTGAAAAAGCAGAGTTTCTTGTTATTTCCCCTGTGTTCTTCATTGAAGTAATGGCCTAACAGCTTCGTCGACAGAGTTGGGCCTCTCCATCCATACTCCACCAAGATTTTTTATACAAGAGCACCACCTGCCAGTTATCTTGTATAATAATGCTCCTGGCTTACATGCCAAATATCTTTTTAGAGGAATCTCTAAGTGTAGTAGTTGACCTCTAGACAAACCACTGTTCTGGCCATGACTTTCCAACAAGTAGTTCTAGTTTTTCTTTAGCAAAAAATTTTGGTTCAGGTGATCGTCAGAAAGAGTTACTATATACACAGTATATTATTATTATTTATTATTATTATTTATTATTATTATATATTATTATTATTATTTATTATTATTATTATTTATTATTATTTATTATTATTATTATTTATTATTATTATTTTTATTTATTATTCTTATTCTTATTTATTATTATTATTCTTATTATTATTTATTATTATTATTTTTATTATTATTTTAACTTTAATTTAGGATGCATTGGTGGGAATAATAATTCTAGAGTTATGCCTCTGGTTTTTGTTTTAATGATAAGCAAAACTGAAGAATTTTACAGAAGAGTGTTCCACGAATTGGTAAAATTTGGAATAGAAAATGGTATTAACTTACGTCTGCAAGTAGTTCTGACTGATTTTGAAACTGCTGCAATAAATGCTATCCAACTAGAATTTGATGAAGTTCAATGTAAGGGTTGTCACTTTCATTTAGCACAGAATATTTATCGCCAAATTCAAATATCTGAGCTTGCTTTGAGATATGGAACAGATAAAGAGTTTAGTTTACTTATGTGACATATTCCTGCACTAGTCTTTATTCCTCATACTGAAATACCGCAAGCATTTGAAGAGTTAAAAGCAAATATACTAGTTGAAGCTAATAGCATTATACAGTGGTTCGAAAATTATTATGTTTATGGTAAAATTAGACGTGTACATAGAAATGGTAATGTTATTAGGTCAGAGCTCTTATTTTTACCTAATTTCTAGTTGGTAGCCAACAATATAGAGTTTGCTTATCCTCAGACTCAGAATTTTGTTGAGGCATGGCACAGGCGGTGAGAGTTGTTGATTAATTGTGCATATGCAGGTGTTTTTAGAGTTATTAGGGAAATTCAAAAGAAGGAAAATCAGGTTCAACTTAACACTGAAACAATTTTAAGAGGAGCACCAAGGCCAATACAGAAAAGATAATATATTGAACTTGAATAGCATATTCAGACTATATTTAATGATCGTCTAAATAGATTTGTTATGGATTACCTGCATGGAATTGCGCATAATATTTCTCTTTAAAATTTTTTTTTTCTCTTTGAGAGTTTTTTTTTAAAAAAATAATGTAGTTAATCATGTTATTTTAACTATTTTATTATTTATCAATTAGATATTGCATGAATAAAATACTTTACGCTGGTTATTAAATATTGCATGAATAAGATGCTTTACACTAGTTATTAAATAAAATGTAAACATTATAAGCTAAAATACAAATAAAAAATTATTAAATTGCTAATATAAAAAATTATGAGTAATGAGATTATGATAAATATTTAAATACAACAATTAAGTTTTACCTATTTTTAACCTGAGTAGTCGCATCACTTATTACAAATATTATTTTTTAACTAGTGACATTTATATTTATTAAAGTAATTTTATTTATGCAAAATCTAATGACTTTCATGTATCACTTGGATTTTTTATTCTTTCTCTAACATTAATAACTTAATTCTTCATTGGATAATAACTAATCTTTTTTTTATTTTACTTAAATATCTTAATTCTTGCTAGATCACAAATAACTCAATTCTTCATTAGATAATGACTAACTTTTTTTTATTTTATTTAAATATTAAAATTCTAGCTGAATCTATTTCTAATTTTGGAATAATATCACGTTTCACTTGGATTTTTTATTCTCTCTCTAACACAAATAACTCAATTCTTCTTTGGATAATGACTCTAGTTATTTTTTTATTTTATATAAATATCTTAATTCTTATTGGATCTATTTATAATTTTGGAATAATGTCATGTATCGCTTAGATTTTTATTCTCTCTCTAATGCTAATAACTTAATTTTTTGTTGGATTATAACTCACCTTTTTTTTACTTTACTTAAATATCTTAATTCTTGCTGAATCTATTTTTAACTTGTTTTGGAATAATGTACATATTGCTTGGATTTTTTATTCTCTCTATAATGCTAATAACTTAATTCTTTGTTGGATAATAACTAAACTTTTTTTATTTTTACTTAAATAGCATAATTCTCGCTAAATTTATTTCTAATTTTGGAATAATATCACATATTGTTTGGATTTTTATTCTTTCTCTAATGCTAATAACTTAATTCTTCATTGGATAATAACTAAACTTTTTTTATTTTATATAAATATCTTAATTCTCACTGGATTTATTTCTAATTTTGGAATAATATTATGTTTTGCTTGGATTTTTTATTCTTTCTTTAATGCTAATAAGTAGATTTTTCGTTGGATAATAACTCTAGCCTTTTTTTTATTTTACTTTAATATTTTAATTCCCACTGGATCTATTTCTAATTTTGGAATAATGTCACATATCGCTTGGATTTTTTATTCTTTCTCTAATGCTAATAACTAAATTCTTCATTGGATAATGACTCTAGCTTTTTTTTTATTTTATATAAATATCTTAATTCTTGCTGGGTCTATTTTTGGAATAATGTCACATATCGCTTGGATTTTTTATTCTTTCTCTAATGCTAATAACTAAATTCTTCATTGGATAATGACTCTAGCTTTTTTTTTATTTTATATAAATATCTTAATTCTTGCTGGGTCTATTTTTGGAATAATGTCACGTATCGCTTGGATTTTTTATTCTCTCTCTAAAGCTAATAACTCAATTCTTCGTTGGATACTGACTCTAAACTTTTTTTATTTTTCTTAAATAGCATAATTCTTGCTAGATCTATTTCTAACTTATTTTGAAATAATGTCACATATCACTTTGATTTTTATTCTCTCTCTAATGCTAATAACCTAATTCTTCGTTGGATAATTATCATGGTGACGACCAACACCCTTGTGTTGATTGTGCTAAAGTTAGGTACGATCACGGGTTACCTAGTCCTAATCGGATAATGTCCATGGTGTGATCAGTGATGTATAAATTTAATATAAAGTCTATTTGTAAGTATTGCATAATGCATATAATTGGGTAATTAAGTACCCGGATTGGTAATCTGTAATAAAAGAATATCAATTCCAAAGGAATTGAAGAAAGTTCTAATTAATAAACAAGCTTAGTGAATATATATCTTAGATATACATAGTAGTATAGGTGGTAGTGCCTAGTACGATACATCAGTGTGCAAAGCAAGTGCTCTGACTAAGTGAATCAAGCCCAAAACCCCTATAAGTACAAATGTATATGACAAACAAGGACCTGGGCAGATGAAGGTTCTACTCGTATTTTATTGAATACTTTGTGGATAAAGTTGTGTTCGAAAAACTCGGCAAATGAAGTTTAAGCCGAAACACATTGTGAAGAGAATGTGTATTTTAAGAAATACAAAAGGACATTGTTAGTAAAAAATAAATAAACAAAAAAAAAAAAAAAATCGAACATAACTTGGGAAAGAGAATAGAAGATGAAAATCATTTGGTGATGTTGGTTGAAACCGTGGTAAAAGTGGTGATGACTGAAGTCATGAATTTCAAGATAGTGCAAATGAAACGACGACGTTTTAGGCCGTGCTTATACTATATATGTCAATGCCCAGGATATTTGGCTTGATAATATCTATCGCAAGTACGATCTATGAATATAGTTAAAGAAAAGGATCAGAATATGAGCTGGAAAAGAAATTGGCAAGAGAAAAAGAAAAAAGATACAAATCTGAATAAAGTTCAAAATACAAAGATCTTTAAGTGCGTGAATGAGGAAATTAAAGGTTTTGTTGGACATTGCTACCATCATGGAAATGGTATTGAAAAGGATGAACATAAGATGTTCATTTATTGTCAAAGATCTGCCGATATGAATAATAAGAATGCTGCAATGATGGCGTGCGAGAATGATAGTAGTAAAAAGAAGATCGATAATAATAATATAAAGAAGGTGATGGTTAGTTCGATAAGTGAAGATGAAAAATGTCAAACTGATGATATAAATTTAAGAACCCACCTAAATCGAACGGTGTAAACTCAATCAAATATGCTGAAAAGTCCAATGATGAAAAAGGATCAAAATACGATCTTGAGCTGATAAATAATATTGAACGAGTGATGAGTGAAGTAATAATACCCATGGCTGTGAATAATGGAATAACATTAAGGAGATGGATAAATTATGTGAAGTTGATCAGATACAAAGCCAAAATCAGGTGGAATCGATGAAAAGCGCAAAGATCTGATGACAATTGGAATTCAAAACAAATATTAGACATATTAAATCAAATGAAGAAAAGATAATTAAATTCTATGATCGTATCTACTTAGATCATACAATTGGCTGTAATGGTGTGTAGTATGCGATATTTGGAAATTGAATCGACATGTGTTTGGGTTTGAAACATTAGTGGAAAAAAAAAACTTTTATTATTAGTGTTTGTGCTATATATCTGTAATTAGTTTAGTATAACTTATGTATTTGTTGGGATATGTATTGTGTTGGATTTTGCAAAGGTGAACTTCGGGATGAAGTTCATTGGAGATCTAGCTCCTGTTATGGTGATGACCAAAACCCCTTGTGTTAATTGTGCTAGGGTTAGGTACGATCACAGGTTACCCAGTCCCAATCGGGTAATCTTCATGGTGTGATCAGTGATACGTGAATTTAATGTAAAGTCTATTTGTAAGTATTGCATAATGCATGTAACCGGGTAATTAAGTACCCAGATTGATAATCTGTAATAAAAGCATATCGATTCCAAAGGAATCGAAGAAAGTTCTAATTAATAAACAAGCTTAGTGAATACACATCTTAGATATACACAATAGTATAGGTGGTAGTGCTTGGTATGATACGCCAGTGTGCAAAGCAAGTGCTCTGACTAAGTGAATCGAGCCCAAAACCCCTATAAGTACAAACGTATACAACAATAATAACTAAACTTTTTTTATTTTACATAAATATCTTAATTCCTGCTGGATCTATTTCTAATTTTGGAATAATGTCATGTATCGCTTAGACTCTCTAACATTAATAACTCAATTTTTTGTTGAATAATGACTCTAACTTTTTTTTTTTTTTACATAGATATCTTAATTTTTGCTGAATACAGCCCTACCCTTTTTATTGTCGGTGAATTTTAGTGTCGGTAAAGAGAGCTTGTCTGTAAATTTAAATTGTCGGTAAAACGATTTTCTTTAAACTTTTGTGTCATTGAAAAGTAACTTGTTAGTAAAACAAGCATGTCAGTAAATTAATTTTTAGTGAATTAATCATCTGTAAAAAAAGCTTGTTGGTTAAATGGGTTCGGTAAAATGTAGTGTCTTTAATGTAATTGTCGGTGAATCAATACAGAGCCATCTTTAATGGCTTTAAAGTTTTTTAGTAGGGGTATCTTCTAGTCTTTTAGTCTTTTTTTTTTAGTTTAGATTTTTACATTAGACTAGTCTTTTTGCTTATTATGTAGTTTTTTTTCTTTTTTGTTTTTCTTATTCATTGTTCTTGATCAATTATTTTTTTTCTTTTTTTTTTGTATTATTCATTTTCTTGGCTTTTAGTTCTTTTTTTTTTACCCCCTCTCCTTATCTTATCCTTAGTAAATTCCTTGCAATTTAAAAGAATATGAAGAAGAGAGAAAGCTATTATGATATGGCAATTAGGCTAGTTTAACATAAGATTTATAATCTTGAAATTTTAGATTAGTGTAGTAGGTTGCACTTAGATATCTATAAAATAGTTAGATTTTTAAAGAAAGCCAGGTAACATAATTAGGAGTAAACAAATATATTTTTAGATATATTTAGAATCTAATAAAGTACAAGCAAAACTGCCTAAAAGTTAAAAAAAAAAAAAAAAAATTTAAATTTAAAAATAAAGTAATATAAATTTTTTTTTTTTTTAAATATTAAGGTGACCACTTAGGCCCTTGGCACTTTATTAGTACAAGCGGTAGACCAATGTTAATTTTAGCACCAGCTTTACATATTATATCAGTATCATGAGAGTACAACTAGTCACATGTACAACTTTTGATTGCCTATTTAAGTAGTCCACCCGAAGCATTAGTGCTATGCTAGGGGTTCTACACTAGCTATCATACCTATAGTCTAACTAGAAAGCTATCTATTTAAACTTTCTGGCTTACCGACATCACATAATTCCTTCTAATATACCTCCATATGGAGAGTAATTTACTGTTTAAGACCCTAAGACTTTAGCCAACAACAGAAGGTATTTATCCTTGTGGTAAACCTAACAAAGCGGTGCATGTCCCACACATGCGCTCACCTGCATGTTCGGTAACTTCTTCCTAACTAGTACATGTTGTACTGCTGCCACCGGGTTCGTATCTCAAGCCAACTTTTGGGGTTCTGCCGTAACCCAATCCGTATCTCAAGCACAACCTTCCTAATTAGTCGCCAATTACGTACTCCTGCCCTTGTAAGGTTCACAACAACCCC